CATGTGTTATCATCCCATCTTGAAGACAATGACAAGTATTGAATCTTGACAACGATTCCGCAGCCCACAATGTCGCTCATACCCGTCACAACCGAAAGTTTTTTTTCGAAACACTCTTCACTCCAAGCCCAGTTGCTAAAATTAACATAAAAAAGACGCACCTATCCCGAATGCACCTTACTCGCAAGCAATTAAGGCCGGAAACCTCCTTTTCGTGTCGGGCTGCGTACCGCTTGATAAAGAGACGATGACGATAAAAGCACAGGGTATCGAGGCACAGGCTTTGCAAGCACTAACAAATCTGAAGGCTATTGTCGATGCTTCCGGTAGTTCGCTTGACAAGATCGCAAAGACGATGGTATGTTGTCCTTGGTCATCTAATCAGAATTGACATCTTGCTGAAGCGCATATATGTCTCTACTTCGTGATTTGATGACATCCATAGGTGTTTATTAAGAATATGGACGAGTTCGCACGCATGAACGCTGTATATGCTGAATTCTTTGGGTCGCATAAGCCGGCACGTTCGTGCGTTGAGGTTGCCCGGCTTCCCATGGACGTGCTCTTCGAAATCGAGTGCATTGCGGTACTGGAATGAGCTTAGAAATGGGCTTCGTCAAATCAGTGACGGAGGGAAGGCAGGATCATATCGTTGTTCCGCAGGTTGGAATTGGCACCTTGCTCGGCTCCAGAAATCTGTCATTTCATGTTGCGATGCCAGACAGTCCACAGTTTCAAGCACAAAAAAGAAGGATATAATACCAAACGAGAAAGTTACATTTGTTCAATTACCGACTGGAGTGTCGTCTCGTCTAAGATTTCAAAACCATTCTCCTGCGTCACCTAACATATCATCAGAACTGGCGTGGCGAACGATAACGCTAGCAAGAAAAAACAGACCTGTGCTAATTGGACGTTATGTTGGTCCAATCTCTCTTCCATGACTTGCTTCAAAATTCTAAGGGTTAAAATTTGTGCTTCCAGGAGCGTCATTTGCTAGCCGACGATCAATACAGAGACAAGCATTGACAAGTGACTTGCAGCGTACTTTATGCCACTTGTCTTGTAGTTCGCTCTGTGCGGCCTCGGAACCTGAACCAATAGCTTTTGCATCGTATCGCATAAAGGTCCCTGAGGGATCTGTGTGGAACCTGAACGCCAGCAAGTCGTTGGCATTGTGGATGTTATCACAAAAAAAGTCTATCTTACAGTTGCGGCCCGTTCTCGTCGAATCCTGCAATCAAAAGCGCTACACCGAAGGGTCGACTCTATAACATCGTCAAGTGAGATAGAAATTCAAGATCCACGTTTTAACATACCATCATAGCTTCCTCGTCGTGTATGCTCTCACCGAAGCGCAGCGCCAGATCACACACAGCTTGAGTTACACTTTCAACTTTGATGGGTTCATCATACGTAAACGCGTGGTTTTGCGCAGTGACGCGTGCATGGTCAATCATCGTGCGTGCGTCCGCAACAAGACCAGACATAGCGCACCCAACGTGCGAGTCGATCTCTACGATTTTCTCTATCGACGAAGATTCAAGTAACGAAGATTGTACGCGTTTTTCTACGCCTAGTACAACTCCATGGGGTGTGCGAACACCGACTGTTGTTGAACCGAGCTGGATAAAGCCAAAATGGTCAGTAACGTCATTTCACGAAGTCACCGAGCTGAGCTGGGATTAACTCACCTTGATAGCTTCAATGGCATACTCGACTAAAAACTTAGTGAGATACATAATTATTTCATATTAATGTCATTATCACCTTGAAAGAGCCGTCCTTCCGGGGAGAACGTGTTGACACCACGGTCTATGCACGACAGTAATCCGAAAGTGATCAGTCTCTAACTTGGTCAAAGACAGAAAACGAGCTGTCTCACCATATTCGGACCGAGTAAGGAACATTTTAAGGTAATGTCGATGAGAGAAGGACTCAAGCAGCTACTCTGTTGAAACAGACGGAAACGCGGTGAATTTCGAGGTGACGTTTGCTGAACGCGCGTCCACATTCGTGTCGTCGAATCACGTGCTGAGAAGTCGAAGGACCTTATAAAGGAGTAACGTCTCACGGATATTTACTTCCGTTAACTCTAATTTGAGTCCAAACAAAGCAAACAGCAAACAAAACAAAGCATGATGCGCTCTTGTAAGTTTGATTGTCTCCGCGTGGATCGGATAAATCTGTCAGGCTTTATTGGGATCAGCGTCCCGCATGCAACATCATACAACAACTGTCTTGATAGTCCTCCAACCAAGACAACGAATTCTTGAGTTACGTCTCGAACACCGATCCCAGAAGCAATCCCATTTCAACCACACTTCTTCTGTAAATTGATTCTCTCGTTCTGGTCTCTTGTTGCATCTAGGATACCAGGATAACAATCGGAACAAGGTCTGGGTGGTTCGCTGTTAGAGAAATGAGCGCCATTGATCTTCCCCGCCTTGGCGCCTCAGTTCGGTAGTCCGGTTATTGGTCTGCCTGTGTGCATGCATGCTCTTCACAGTAACCGTGAAAACTTACGAGGCGCGCCACACTCACTTGAACACGTTCCGACTCTTTCACTTTCCCACGTCCAGCCATTCGTCCAAGTACTTCAGTCTATAAGGGACAAGAGTCGTTTGTACTGCTTGTTCTTTTGCCCATCATCCCACCTACCGACACGTAGTCTGCACTCATGAGCGCGCGTACCGCCTCGTAGCTAATGTAGTCTACTCATGGCAGGTACGGTAATAGACACAGAGAGCCCAGCGGACATTATTCACCAAATGTATGTGCCACCGTTTTTCGCTCCACTGCACCGGCGGTTCTCACGAAGAAATTCGCTTGAAACAGTGACGCAAACTATTATCTGAGCCTCGTGGCATTCAGTGAGTTCTGCGCTCTCGGAGCTGTCATGAACAGAGATTGATCGTCGCCCCTGCAGCGATCCTTTATTACGATTACGCCTTAACCCTACCCGACGAGGTACGATTTATCTGGAAGAAGAAAACGAGCCTCGTTACTGGTCTCTTCTACACCAATCGCTACCTTTCAATCCTTGGGACGATTCCAATCGTTCTGCAGAGTTTTGGAAACTGGTCTGCAAAGGTTAGTCTCTGTATCTTGCCCAGTTTGATATATGCCTGGAGCATATTAATCAACTTCCCTTTTACATGTTAGGGGTATGCATAGCTTTCTAATGACATGGAAACAAAGGTCTTATTCACACTGGTAACATAGATGTGACGATTTGCAAAAATATCATCAATTTTTATCCATCATAGTGCAAATCATTGTCGCAGGTGACTATTGTACAAGTTGCTTTGTGGCTCGTTCATTGCTGACGGAAACGTTACTTAGTCATCGTGATTCTCCGGACTTATGCGTTATATGAATGTAGCTTAAAAGTATTGCTGTCAATGTCCTCGTTCGCAGTTATTGTCATTTGCTTCGTTATCGTAAGTCTGAATGCCGTGTTGTACGAGTGACGGTCTTTCTCATCAGATCTAACTTTAACACAGTGGGCTGTGCTGGCGCCAGCTTCCACAGTACAAGAGCAGTACGACCTCTCGTCGATGCTGGGATGCAATGCTAATCTTTCATTTGAATTGTAAGTGATGCCATACTCTCGGCTGTTACAGAAGTCGCTAACATTTGATCAGGGCTGCCAGTGAGTCCAGTAAATTTTGATGGTCGCGGTGCGAGTCTCATACGACATATTGTGCTACACAGAGCTGTCTGGGGCATGGGCAAGCTTACTGGTTTTCGATACCGCAGTTGTCATTCTTACTCTACGAAAGGCGATAATAATCAAGAAATTAGAGAATCGCAAGCTCTTCTACGTTCTTATTCGGGATGGTGAGTTCGTTGCCTACTCCTCAATGCCTGTGCATCCAGTGACAGCAGATTTCAGGGACTGTTTACTATTTGTAAGCAGAATACTTTGCTGCAGGAGATTACCCTGGACTCATTACCTGATTTCAGTGTCTTCGCTATGATAAACATGGCACAAATCATTATCTTTCTGGTATGTCATATTAGCCACTACGTAATTCCGACTTCTCATCAATTGCCAGACTGGAGCAGTGAGCAAATCGCTTTGTGCAAAAGGTGTACTGTCTCAAATCATTACAGCCAATTGTCAGGGGCGTACTCACTACCTTGGCCAATGTGTAAATTTTCAGCTCTCTCGGAACTGCATAACTTATAATTAACTCTGATTAATGAAAGGATCTCAACGACGTTGATATCACGTTTAATGCTTAATCTACAGAATCCTCGTCTTTTTCATGCAAACAATGATCGAACCGCAATTTCGACCCTTGGCGCATTCGTCGCACGTGTGCCGGACCAAAGCACCGTTTCGTCAGGTTTAGCATCTAATAATACCCTTACGGATGAGAGCACGCGATACGCATCCTCGGACGGCGGGACTTGGACTCTGCCAAACAGGTCTCATATTGTTAGAAAGATAGATATCCAACAAGACATCGGTAAGTGGTACCATTTCATCTTGGAAAAATGGGCACAGTAAACCGCGTCGTGATGCCTTCCTCTCCGTCCTCCCGCTCACACATGTGAAACTGATACCTTGATACTTCCTTCCGATAGAGCTTTCCGTGATCTCTGATCACACAGATGGGGATCTTAAATAGAAGTAGAAGGGGTTAAGATTATCGCGTCGAACTGGAACTTCGCCTCAGTTGAAGTCGATTCTCCGTAATGCTCGCTGTCTCTTAACGGCGAATAGCTGGATAGCAACAACGCTCATTACTAATAGACGTTCGGAAGGTCGATATCTTTGTCGTGCGAACTACGTCGGGCAAGTTGTAATATCACGGAGTTCGTCGAGGGCGGAGTTCCCCGCTCCTCCTATTCAACCAGCTATCAGATCCCGTTGCCAATTTGAGAACGTTCATCTGCGATCAATGGTGGTGAGGATATGAACAGAACCGGGGTTTCCGTTTTGGACATCGTAAGAAGACGACGCTCAGACCTCTTTCACAGGTGTCCCGAATTCCGATCAACGATATACAAATTGTCCCATTCATCTCCGTTGGGGGCTCAATTACTTTCGCTCTTTCCCGAGCAACATTTCAATCCGTCTATTCATAACCCGCGGACATCACAGGGAGAATCTCACTACAGGTACATATGAAAACAAGGGCTTTCAGCTTAGTAACAGAGGCGGGGAGAGACACGTATTGCAACCTGGGAGCAAATTTGGCGGGAAGTCGAATATATGCAATACACATACGGAGGTAGTAAAACTGATGAGATGTTCAAATGGTTTATTTACATGAAAGCGGGAAGGTCGAAACGGCATTTGGGAATTCGATGGGCGAGAAAAGCTGTCCCTTCTTTGCTAGTAAAATTTAAATCGTAAAACTTCTAAACCTCTATAAGTGTATCGGTTCTTTGGAGGGTGATGTATATGTTCCTTGCTCTTTCTTCCTCTCCGTTCGGTCGCACCATAACTTCCCTGTTCTCGTGGCATATTCAGCGAATGAGAGCGTATTCAGTTCCTGGTTTCAGGCACATGGAGGTTTTTGGATGAGTGGGAAGCATTGTTATGGTTGCTATAATGATTCATACAACAAACTGATGATCATGATGGATTCCAATGCAATCAGCTTTGATCGAACAGGAATCATGCCTGTCTCACGACTTAATTGAAGAAGCTGAAGAACGAGTCAAGGCCAAGTTCGCCGTTGTTCAACAGTCTCCGCACCAATAGTGAGACCACAGTCCTGGTGCGTGCATACATATTATATGCGAGTATGACAAAACACGGGATCGAAAGTTTCTTTTGCAGGTCCGCGGGGAGATCAACACTGAATGCTTTTCGTCCTCTCCTGCTAAGCACACCAGCGCAAGCATTACATCCGAATTCCGACAGAAGCGCTTCGGGATGTCTTCTAGCATTGAACCGGTGCAAACGCCGTCATCTCTTATGCGCATTATTATCTCGGTTTCTCTCTCCGTCAAAATAAAACTTAAACTGCCTTCCATTCCATCGTGACATCCTTAGGGCTTACATACTGCATCTCCTGACGTCCCTGATAACGTCTTGCCACAGACACAAATATCACTAGGACGTCCCTAAGTCGTAATCCCGCTCGCTCACTTGCCAGAGACCCGAGCGGACCTTGCCTTTCTCCCCTTTTTTTCTCACCTTCCTTCCGTTCGACCAGAAGCGACGGCTAACTCAGCGAGTCTACTACGTATACACTTTGTGGCCCCTCTAATTTCCAGGGTATCGATCGCTCCGGAGAGGAGTACCGGACGGGCGTGCAAACACGAAGGGTAGGGTGGGGCACTGAGCGGAGCTTCGCGTCCTTGAATATGCTTGTACCGGGTGCTGGTAGGACGAAATGAAGCTTCCTTCCGCCTAAACACTCTTTGCCCTACCACATACATCCGAGAATCCTCGAGTGAACCCCGCACATCTGTGTGCTCGTACGTACTAAGCTCCGCGGATTTCAAAGCGACAAACTTTGTTTTTTGCATTCTCGTTAGTACTACAACCGAGAGAAGAAGGCTCGGCCTCAAGGACGCTGTTGACCTTGTGGCGTTAGCTTCGCATGCGAAAGACAGATATGAATGCGTTTATAGGCGCTGTGATACTCAATCATATCAGGCGTTCCTTTGAGCGGAAGGTGAGAAGTGAATATGAATACATCGGCGGAACCATGTTAGGACCACGCTTCCTGACACAGGAGTCCGTGTCCTAATCATACGCGACTGCATCCATTTGAAGTGCGATGCCACGGCTCCTGAGCGGTCTCCATGCACTTTCTGCGCAAACCGTCTGCATACTTGTACCGGATTGGTCCTCGCCTGTGCCTAAGTCAGACTGGCTCGGCGTTACACAAAACATGTGGCACGGAGTGTCGATCACTACTTTGTGGGTCCAAGAATGTCCAATTTAGGAAATATGCCCATTTATCAGACAATGACCACGGCTTCCATCCACAGCTGAAGCAAAAGTCAGACACATTTTTACCTTACTAAGTGTCTCTAACGTATTTACATCCCTATGCTTAGCATTAATGAGCTCGCGTCTCGTATCGGCACTATATCCTATTCTGCACCGTATATATCGGTCAAGATTTTGGATCGAGTACGGAAAAGACGGGCTTGGCAAAAGAACAAATGAATGTGAGCACTGCTCACTGTCCGCATTCTATTGAGCGAAATGGATTGCGCCGGGTCCCGACGACGAATTTGAATTGCATGTGAACATCGCAACTTTGTTTGCTGCTTCTCCGTCTCCGTTGGAGGAGAAGTGACTGAACGCCGTCTAATTGTATGTAAGCGCCCAACCAATCGTCGCGCCTGGCATATCGGGTTAGCTGCAGAGCTATATTTACCATTTCAAAACAATACATCTTGTTGCTAATTGCCATGCAACATAAGATTGGTAGCAGGAGGCAGATATCAGATGGTTTGGCACTTGATACGTTAGTCGCATGCCTAACAATCATCTGCGTCAGCTCCATTAAGCTTTGAGTCACAGAAGAAGCAGAATGAAGTACCAAACAACACGCACGCTATTTGTGGATCCCGCATCTTGTTCAGCCACCCCTTCTCCCGTATCCGTATCTCCTGGATTGAACTTAAGTTAAACTTCAATAGTAACAGTCGAGTATTCCGTGCCTCGTTTAGCTTGCTCATAGGTCATATATTTTTAGACCAAATCGTCTAGGCTCTTCTGGATGTACCTCTGAAATGCGATCTAATGCCTGCGTGCATCTCGTAAAGAGTCTACGGGCAGGTGTAGTAGCAATGCCAATGAAAGGTATGTAAGCCTGAGCCTTTCCGTTGACTACAGCTCACTTTCTACTTGAGTCAGCCACATGATTCACCACTGGCACTATTACCGACGGCAACTTTACCATCCAATATCATCCAGCGTCCTACCACCGCTCCCATATCCATTACAGGTAGCCCGGTAGCACTAGCATGACATGATCCATCACTGTGCAATGCACATGAATTGCTCCCAGGACGAATCGCACCTCCTCAGGGAAGTCGCTAAACTTTCCGATGTCGACGTCCGAAAACACGTACGTTCTCCCTTCTGAACACGGACTGCTGCTGTCTTCGCCCCCGTTAACGGCAGCAAACGTGTCTTCCATTGCGTTGTGTGTCCCAAGTCCAGCCTCCTCGACGTAGCCGAAAATCCCGGAATCCGATCCAGCCACTATCTCCGCCTCAAACGCTGATCTACCTTTCATGCTTACAATGCTTACAGAGACTACGTTGGTCAAGAAGTTCCCTTTCCATTGGATTCGACCAGCGGAGGTCGTTAGTTAACGGCACGCCAGCTTAGAGAGCTGCTTCGAATACCTTTCCTCCGGTCATTTCGCACTTGCGCGACAATCAACGTAAATAGGTATGTTAGCTTGGGATGATCAGGGAAGAGAGTAGCAGTAATTACGGCCAGAGCGATATTTCATGCCCCGCACTTCTCCAAATGATACGCCGCAACGAGCGTCCGAATGCCTTGGGAAGATGACGGCAAATATGTCAGGAGACGGATAAAATCGCAATTGGAAATGCAATGTTCGCATTTCAGGCGCATACATGCGACGTGAAGTGAGCATGGATGATCTGCAGGTGTATAGGGACGTTCATCGTCGACGTTATCCGATACCATAAGAGGAGCGTAATACAATTGAACTGTATTCCGAAGGGAACGTAGATTATAGAAGCCTGGTGGTCGGGGCAGACCCCACAGAGGACCAAGGGACGGCGACCTTGTCTGTATTGAATTATTCTTTGCCTGTCCATTGTTGTTGAATTTGAAATTCTCCGCGCTTGACATGGGTATGCAATGCTGTGCGATGGGTTACCAAACATGTCCACAAATGTTCGGAATTACAGTTCCACTAGCGTCGCATCGCGGTGATAACGTCGAAGACGCGACTGATCGGGGTTCAGAATGAGAAGAAAGAGTGTGAAGATGTGACTCTGGCGGAGAATTTGCTCTCGGGGGCGAGGACAGCGCTAGAGCATCTGTGTACGTGCCAATGATGTAAGTTCATGCGTGACGAAACAGAGATGAATTTCATGAAGGTTAGGAAGCAAGATCCGGAAGGGAACACGGCAGCTAGAGAAGTGGACGTGCGAGCCAGCGATGTTCCGTCTTCGGGCACCTATACGTATGCCCCAGCCGGTGCCCCGCGGTGCTGCAGTCTTTCACTCACCCTTGGAAATCTCTCACCAGCACGTCCGTCGTCGATTCTTCCGGGATGCACCCATTCGGCGTATACGTACATAGAGACCGCAGCTGAAAATAGCAGCATACGTCTTCATTATGTACATAGTTACCCATCCATTCAGAACCTACACTGCAACGTTAACGGCTCGCTCCGGAGGATTGATATTGGACGGCCAAGGAAACACAAAAGTGCAATGGGAATGGACTTTGCGCGGGACGGAGGAAACGGAGATTCAGCAGTGGAACGGATAATCGAGACATCTGATGGTGGATGCAATCATTGTTGTTGGCCGTGCCGTTACAATTTGGGCTTCGAGCTCGCAGGCGCAGTCGGCGGTGATCGAGGCACCCAGGAGAACGGACTGGCTGTTGGCCGTTGATTCGTTGAGCGGCGGAAGATGTGATGGAATTGACTTGTTCTGGATCCTGTGGCGTATATTCGGAAATTGTACTGTAAGCGTAGGTAAGACGGAGCAGAAGCGTCCCTATACTGGCCGCATATTATATTCCAGAACATAAAGCGGAGGACGGCTGTCAAGCGAGCGCCTTGAAAGCGGTGCAGTTTGAACGCGATAGATTGTACTTTGGAAAGCAAGAACCGCATGGCAGGGCGGGCTTTCGGTAGCAGGCGCCGGTGGAGATGGGACGGGTGATGAGACAGCGGCGGGGACGGAGAAGGCATTGTTCTGAGGCTAACTACGTTCGCGCAGCTATAATAATAGGTCAGACTCGGAGGGCGGGACAAGGTTAACCCTCCGATGCATTGCTCGGCTGCAGATTCTTATATTTTGTTGAATTTTTAATCTGTCTCTGCAAAATCTATGTAGTGCCGTTGCAACAGTCAGGGCAGCAGTATTGAATCCCCGGTGGAGGATGGCGCGCAGCCACCGAGTGTTTGAGTGTCGTCAGCGACGACATTGACAAGGGAGATCGCCGTCAGGTTAGCCATCCTACCGGGGCTCTTACGTTTCCAATCCAGAAATGAGTTGGAGAAAACGAACGAAGTGAGTTCCGAGCTTTGACAATCCCTGACATGTCCGTCGCGCTTCATCGCCACCTGCACACACGGACGAGCTAAGCTACGCGCACATGCGCTCTCGACCTGCCGTAAGGCGGCTAGAAGAACATGGACGGACAAGCGGAGAACGGCAGAGAATGGTACAAATATAATCTACAAATGAAAGGGGGGGTGTGAGAGCGAGAGAGAAAGGAAACGAAGGGACACGGGAAGCGAGTGTGTTTTTGGCGGTGCGGAGACGGCGAACTTGAAGTTGCACATCAGCATAAGCGCACGGCTTCCATCCATGCTTCCTCCCTCCGCGTTATAAAATGTTATGATATACATACGCCTCCATCCACCCGTCTCGCAGCTCTACTCTCCGCCCACCCTCCGCTCCCACACATGTCACGCATCTCCCTTCCCGACGTGCCCTACGACATCCTCGTCAGAATCGCTCTCGAGACCGCCTGCATCGACGTCCTCGGTCCACCCACACATCTGCCTCCTCTCCTTGCCACCTGTCGCCCCATCTACAATGCTCTTGCACGCTCCCCGGAGCTCAATGCTCGCATATTTAAAGCAAAGTTTGATGTCACGGCCGCGCGCCGCCGCTTCGGGCCAATCGCGCTCCTCAACAGGAACCTTGCGGTCCAGCTCAAATCCTACTGCATCTCTCTCAAACGCTTCCGTGCTGGCGACGTACACGCCGACACGTCAACGCTAGAGACGGATCTCTGGAATGCATTTCTCATGTTGACAGAGAACGATGGCAAGAACGCCGCCCAGCTCTCACAATATGCGCGCTTCCCCGAGTTCGCCGAAAGCCTCATTCGCTCGCGTATGCTGGCGGATCGAGAGTCGACCGGCTGGCCAGTCGAGACGACGTGGAAGAGCCTTGCAATGTGGTCGCTCTGGATGATGACGGACACTCGTGAGTTGGTCTGGGTTGTGTCGCGTGCAGACTATATGCAGTTTTGCTGATTTTGGATTCAGCCGCGCTCCAGGCTGAGGGTACCGAAGCGCGCGAGTCGTTCATCCGCCTCCTCCTCCCCTTCATCTTGTGTTGCTTCCGCGTACGTCTCTTTGAACACTATGCTTTATCAACAGTCTGACGCGCACACGCCAGTACAACTGCTTCCACGCTGCAGACATTCATTACAGCCTTCCGCTCATCCGCGAGGACTTTCCGCAGCTACCTACCTCTTTAGTCACCGCTCACGGCCGTTTCCCGCAATATCCAAGCGCAGATGCCTGTTCGGAAATAACGCACTTCAACCAGCGCATAACCATCGCGCGTCCGCCAATCGTGCAGGCCGCACAGCTGCTGTATTTTGCACGACGCGAGCTCAATGGCTTTCCGATACCCATGGGAATTCCGCGTGACCGCGAGCATGCGCTTTCATTGGGACAGCCCACCGGCCCAACACGTGCGGACTATGCAGAGCTAAATGCGCATCCTTCGGCGCGTCTGCTAAGCTCAGGCGACTGGGACTGGCTGACCGCTCTTTCGTCTACGGATCGTCATGTCACGCTAACAGGGAACGAGAAGTTCCCAACGGCTCGTGCTCTGAGTGCACGATTTGATGCAGATTGGGAGCGTCTCACAGGTTGCTACAGCCCCTGGGTATCGCCGACATCTGGCGCATATGCACGGTATGCGTTTGGCGCGCTAATTGGTCGCTGGGTGGGGCGGATGCTCATTCCCGACGAGAACTCTTACATGTCGATGATCGAGAATCCGATGTTGCATAGCTTTTTCGGGGAGAGTTTCCCGTTCAGCACGATCCGGCCGTTCATGCTCACGCTGAGGGAATATCATTGCATCAGCCCGGAAGAACCTGTAGACTTCCGTACAGCGGAGAATGGCTTGGACGACGGTGTGCTGAACGCATATTTGCCGCCTCTTAGTATGCTCGTCGAACAGGTAGGCTATCTAGCAATTTAGTCTATTTCACTCGCTTTCAAGTATCTAACATCTCATCATAGGATGCTGTGACATTTACAGAACAATCTGCTGAGCGATATCGCCACCGGTATGAGAGGATACTGCCGGGTCGGCCAAGTTGTCACAATGAAGATACATGTGTTTATTGTCTCCATCGCACTGCACAAGCCCCTGCTGAACGCTCGGCGCGCATGGCTGAAATTGAGGCAGCGTTTCAAGAAGCGGGGCTTGGACGAGACGACATGGATGTAGACGAATCCTGTACTGACTCGAAGATGAGTGAAGAAGATGGCGAAGAAGATGAATATGAGGCAACAATTGAAGACGGACCGTGCAACGGGGTGCTGGATGTTGTCTTCACAGGTATAACAGAAGAGCGCCATGGTGATGCATGGTGCCATTACATGTATTATGGCCGACTACGTGAATGGGACGGACTCATTGTGCTTGTTGGAGTTCCTGTAAGTTCTTTCTCCGTTCTGTTACTGTCCCCAAGCCTTTCTAGTCTTTTGAAATCCTCACTGACATCCAGCTTTCGTCCATTTTCGCGTCTTCTCACAATCGTGATTCGCGATTTTCACAGAATGATGTGAATGAAAGGTTATGGGGTAAATGGATTTTCCGTGGATACCTTCATGGTGGACAGAATTTCACTGGCCGATGGCGGCACTATGCATACGACCTCTTCGCGCCAGCGTACGAAAGCGCCTTCACTCTCTCCAAGCGCGATGATGCTGAGGAGGTATGAACGTGCGTGTGTTCGGTCCGCCCCAGGCTCCCGGATCTTGGTCTCGGACTTCTCGTCAACCTGACGTTTCCTGCAAATTTGGTCGAGCGGACTTTGTATATCTCGAAGCCGCTTTTTGCAACATTTGGCGTCTAAAACGTTCGTGGGCGCCCATCTTTCGGCTCCTTCCAGGCACCCTTTCCCCTGTCCTCCGTAATGAGTTGCATCAGTGCACAAGACGAAACAACGCAATGTCTTTTCCTACACCGTATCTCAGTCCTCCGCCTTTCTTGCTTTCACACCATGTGCTATGCCCATATTGCGCTTTCTCCGCTGCCGTCACCTCTAGTTCGGGATCGAACTTCCGAGCGTTAGTCTCGTCTGTATGCTACTGTCTCTGGCACTGTTGCCGCACTGCCTACTGTTACGTTGACTGGTCCGTTTTGGGAGATGCGCGGGAATGGGATTGCGCCACCGTTGCTCCGTCCGATAGACTTCCTTGTGCTACGTGGTTCGTATTCTCGTTCGACATTGTGCGTTCGTGCTCGTCGTTTCTCGCTTTAGTAAACACGGGATCTTGATCTTGCGCCCCATATGCAATCCTAATCTTGTTCGTTCCGTTTGTCCGCCTTGCTTGTTCTTCCCAGCCTCGTACGCTGTTTCATCCTATTTTATGTATACTTCATTTGTTTTTAGCATCGCATTACAGCATTCACCCGATTGATTTTTTATGCATGCATGTTCCGCTCATCAGCCAATTACCTCGCTGCATCACCGCACTTTATTTTGTCTATGTAGCATACATCTCGCAATCGCTTATATTTTTTCACTTTGATATGGACTGTCACGAATATGTGGCAACCAACGAAGTTTGTTTTACGTGGTATCCTCATAGAGTTTCCTGTATCGGGCATTTGGCGCGTTTAATGTTATACCATGCTTACTTGTAGTCATTTCACCTTGTTTGCAGTGCTTCTCGTATTTGTTTTCAACTACCGCTCTACTTTCACGTCATATTCTGCTCAAAATTGGATACGATGCGAATTTGGGATCGTGCTTCTGTCTGAAAGCGTAAGACACGAACGAAGGTCCGCTTCCTCCGTCACACCATCTATCTTCATTGCCCATTCTTAGAATGTTTCGTACGTGTGGGGCACTTCATTTGCGAGTGATCCCCTTATTCCTTTACGTCTTTTGTACATATGCGAGAGCGGGGGTCCATCTTTTTGCCATCTTCTTTGGTGTCGTAACGTGAGCATGCATACAAACGGCTTCATTATTATTATTTTTTGAATCATTCGGCATGCCTGAGATTGAGTTCTTTCGGAGAGATGAGACGAGACGGGAGCTAGGGTAGCCAGAACTGTAATCACACACACGACTTTTAGAGGTTAAGCAGTACTGTGGTCGCAGCCTCTCAAGAGTCAAACTAAGTTTGTCTGCTGGCTGCCAGGCTTGGACTAGGTTCAGAACTCAGAAATTGAATTAAAGTTGAATCGGAGTTTAAATTGATCAGCATCACACGTTTTCCACGCGTTGCAGCATGGCTGCCCGAAGCGCGGTGGTAGTTTATCTCTATCCACGATCATCTAGCTTCAAAGATAATACTGACAAAAGCGAATCAAGGAAAGACAAGTCATAGAGAAACCAGACTAGGCTCAGAATCCGACCGTGAGTAGCCGAGGATGCAGCTACACGAGGGAAACACAAGAAACCTGCAGATCATTGCAGGAAGAGTGTTTGACACGTAAATCCGAATCAACAGTTATGCGAAGTATCATTTATGAATACCCTTTAGCGAATCGCTGGATTTTCTGTACAACCAGATCATAACTATCGACCGCGCCTCTGGTCTCATCTGCGACGTTCGGCACTTCGGCGAACTGCCTGATCTTGAGAGTACTGTGCAAGCAGGGAATGTTGTGGATCTACGTCGGGTTACTGTTTTACCTGGATTCGTGGACGCCCATGTACACTGTAGGCTGTCTATTCTCTATATGCTTCCCTTTCCTTTCTTCTCGTTCTTCTACTCCATCTCATCCCGCAAAGAAGCGCTTCCCACATCTATCATGTAACTTCCAGTTGCGAAACGTCCCATCCTCATGGGGTCATAGATATTTCATCTTTCCTTCCTTCTTTGGCAGGTATAACTTCGATTTTGAAGGGTTGAAGCTGAGATGCATCGCTGCCTTTTAATTTTCAGTATTCTTGCATCCCTACTCGGAAACGTCATGGGATGACCAGCTGACCAAAGAGCCACTTGTTGAACGCACGATCCGTGCTGTCGCTCATGCGCGCGAAACGTTGCTTGCGGGATTCACTACAGTGAGGTCAGTATCCCTTTAATCTATTCGAAAAGCATCCGAACTCTCCTTGCTTCGAGACCGAATCGTCAGAACGAAATAATTATATTGTGGACTGTATTCCACGGGTACTTCCCGAGTTGCCCTTCCACGCCCGCACTAGTTGCTGACTCGGGTGCTTCTTTGAGCTTTCGGTCATGAATTACTAACTCCCTTCACTGTATTGTACAGGGACCTAGGTACGGAAGGTGCGGGTGACGCCGACATTTCTCTTCGCAGATGCCTTTCGGGGCCAGATGCACTCGCACCTGGCCCTCGGTATTTTTGCGCGAATAGGGCCCTTGTCCCAACTGGTAGCTACGGTAAGTAGAATAGTGCCCACTAACACTATCTTTTCGGTCTGTCATCTTTTGATCCACACCCGCGAACGTATAAGAGTACTGATTCGTACCATCATCCTTGGGAATCATTTCGCAAAGGTCCGAGAAGCAGGATTATACTCAATGCGGAGGGAGTCCAAGGTGTCACTGGCGCAGAGGTTGCGGATGGCGTTGAGGTGCGGTGATGACAGTCCAGCCTTACCACACTCTTCCGAACGTCGATCTTTACTTGGCTTTCCAGCAATAAAGAATTTTAATGCCTAGCTGACATTTGCTTGGTCTTGTGTTTTCGTTCTTTTGATAAGGAATGTCGTAAAGCTATACGCCGGCAGACTGGTGCCGGGGCTGACTGGATCAAGGTTCGTTGTCTTCACCAAATGTCAAAGTGTTTAGTGAGCGGGGACTTAAGTGCGAACGACGGCTTTCTGCGGGATAGATATATGCAGGTAAGGATCACTCGAAATGCCATGGAATAGGAAACAAAGTCTCTTTGACTTACACTCTAATGGATTAGACTATCGTTATCGCTCGCGAATGGCGGATGTTTCCGCCCGGCCAGCTGCGGCTTCCCTCGCAACATTCCAGACGGACGAGTTGAAAGCGTTAATTGACACGGCGCACCAGCTCGGACTGAAGATTGCTGCACATGCGAGCACGGCGCCGGCGATAAGTACCGTGGTCAAACTTGGCGTCGATACGGTCGAACACGGTGATGGTGTTGACGACATGGCGCTCTTTGCGCGAATGGCCCAGCATGGCGTGACGTGGGTTCCGACTTTGGCTGCCTACCATACTCTTGGAAAGGCAGATGTATGGGCACGTGCGTGTGCGACCTTCCAAGCCGCTCTAGCTACCGATGTGAAGATTGCCTGCGGAGGGGACACCGGAGTTTTCCGGCATGGGGATAATGCATTAGAGATGCAGCTTATGGTTCGTCTCGGCGCAGACTGGCGTAGGGTTCTGCGTTGGGCGACCCTTGGCGGCTGGGAGTGTGTGCGTTCAAAAGAATGGGAGGGTCCACGCGGAGCGGAACGTCTAGAGAAGGTCGAGGAGCTCCGCGAAGGGCTGGATGTCGTTGGGGACAATGAGATGCCGTTCGGCGCGATAAGGAAAGGCTTTTCAGCAGATATGATAGCTACAACAGGAGACCCTGAGAACGACTTTGAGAATGCCGTTAAACCAGCCAGTATATCGTTTGTGATGAAGATGGGGAAAGTTTACAAAAAGGACGGAGTTGCTTTGCTTTGAACGTAAAACGAATGTACGGCATGAACAATGTGATATATGTGTAGCTAGAGTTGCTGACTCTGTCCTGATTTGACTGTGTACTACGTGAAGCTCCAAATCTATTAACAGCACCTATGTTTATACTTTTCCCTTTTATGGAATTGTTGCGGGGTTTCAATCTGCACAGACAGCAGTCCACCTGCATCACATGATCAAAACTTAGCTTTAAACATTTCATTTGTGGCGCATTAGTATTTCTTCTAACACCTTCTGTTTCCGCCTGTGGCACATACTTTCGACCCTCTTGCTGTTTACCTTGTCTTCGCCCTCTTTGACAGACACTTCCTCGAAAGAGGGATAGCAAATCAATGGCAGCTAACGAGCTTTCAGAAAAAGATCTAAAGGAGATTCTGGATTTCTCCATTGCACTGGCTCGAGATGCTGGGAAACTTATACTTGAAGGATCGGACAATATCTTGCGATCTGCTGCTGGTGCTGTTGACGAGAAGAAAAATTCTACTGACTTAGTCACGAAGTATGATAAGGCCGTGGAAGAGCTGGTACGCAAGAGGGCTGGCAGCGCCTATCCGTCCTTTGGTTTGTGAGTGTGGCGTGCTGGCTCGAGAACTCTCTTTGCTAAGGCTAGATAGTATCGGGGAGGAAGAGACGGCAGCACTCGGGAAACTCCCTGAGCTTACAGATGGTCCTACTTTTTGTATTGATCCGATCGGTAGGTCTAGAAATCTTGTAATCGTTCCGAGTAGTCTGGCGCAATGATTCGTCGACAGATGGGACCGTGAACTTCGTGCACGGTTTTCCTTGGTCTTGTATCTCTATTGGGCTAATAAATCAGAAGCGTCCTGTCCTTGGAGTTATTTACAATCCATTCATTGACTGGCTGGTCCGTGCATTCCGGCGTTCCATGCTTCGTTGTACTATTTCAAACCTTGTAACTATAGTACTACGGATCCCTGGGTCAAGGTTCATACCTCGTCAAGCCAGGAGGCGCCTTGTTCAGGCTTCCCCTTGTCCCCCCTCGTCCGCTCCCTTCTCTTTCGCAAGCCCTGATTGCGGTTGAATGGGGATCGGACCGAGGTATTATTCCGACTAAAGCAAGAGCGGATTCATACCTTCGTCTTGCGGGTGATGGGAAGCAAATTGAACACGGTAAAATGGTGCACTCATTGCGCTCGACGGGCAGCGCGGCTTTAAACTTCGCATGTGTTGCTGCCGGGCAGATGGATTTGGTTTGGTATGTTAGTTCTCTTCGCCAAGTGCTAAATCGTACTAACATGGACATAGGGAGATCGGTCTCGGGTAAGAGTTCGCTAGTTCGCTAGGAGAGATGTGATGTTTAGGTTCTAACTTATGCATAGGCCTTGGGACGTTTGCGTATGTGGATTTGTCTCAACAATGCTTGCATCATTTGAAATTTTATAATATTTTTAGGCAGGGACTATTATTGCTCAGGAAGCAGGTGGAATGGTCAACACATCTGTCATATCAGTTCATGGTGGAGAGGTCACCGGCGATGCGTCCGATAAAGTTTTGACGGGCGGAAAGTACGTCGTCATACGGTCAGTTACTCCCGTTTGTATCCTCTCATATTCCGAGTCTAATATTGTTCTTAAGGGCTATTGCGGATTCAGAGGTAAAGTAGTCATGTTCAGGATCAATGAGAGTCTCACAAATTTACTCACTCTTCAGAAGGAGAAGGGAATCGATATTCAAAAACGACTCATTAAAGAAGTTTGTGAAACTGTCATAGATGTCAAACTATAAATCCAAGGTCTAAAAGGTAGATTTCTGAAGGGGGGGGGGCATGGCTCAGGTGTAGATTTAGGATACCACAGTGTACGTCCTTGTGGTTTGGTTCATAAGTGGATTTCATTTCCTTCTATTCATTCCATTTATCCCATTAAACCCTTATTATTGACACGAAACTGCAGACTAAGCACTTCAATCATCTTATTTATTTCTCATTTACGTACAGTTGTATTCCTCATAGATACATACTTACTAATATCTAATGCCATACGTTGCATATATATATATATCAGAAAGCTTACCGAGGTACGTTACACTAACACGCATACTTGTTATTGTGTTTCTGAAGCCCGACTTACAAAGAGAACAGCAAATAGATACGTCTGCAACAGGCAGTATCGCTACGTAGCAAATGTAATAGATAAGAAACTTGTAAATAATTTCTCTGAAACAACACGATTGCATCTTATGCGAAGACTGGGACTCAGACTCATCTCCGTTCTCACAATTCGCGTCGCGTCAATGCATCACATGACCGAATTGCCACAGTCAAACGTGCGACGCAATTTTGAATTTCTGACGCATTTCTTCTCCTGTGGCAATCACACTCGGTCCTTGGACTCTTAGACAAACCCAGAGGGGACGTCGCTTAGTGAAGGAATAGCTGAACCGATGGCATCGAGCGAACTTTCAAGTGAAAACCTTAAGGAGATTTTGGAATTCTCCAAAGTTCTTGCTCGAGAAGCCGGAAAACTTATACTCGAGGGATCGGACGCCATCTTGCGATCCAATGCGGATGCAGTTGGAGAGAAGAAGAACTCTGTAGACCTTATTACTCAGTATGATAAGGCTGTGGAGGATTTGGTGCGCAAGAGGACGGGTAGCGCATATCCGTCCTTTGGCTTGTACGTGTAGCAAAACCGTCCTAGGAATGCCGTTTGTATGCTTATCTTGAATGCCGATAGCATTGGAGAAGAGGAGACAGCGGTATTAGGAAAGCTCCCCGAGCTCACAGATGGTCCAATTTTCTGTGTCGACCCAATTGGTCTGTCCGAGATATTTGTAGATGCGTCGAATAATCCAGCGAAGTGACTCCTTGTCAGACGGGACGACGAATTTCGTGCATGGTTTCCCTTTCGCTTGTATCTCTATAGGTCTCATTAACCGGAAGCGCCCTGTTCTTGGGGTTATTTACAACCCGTTCATCGACTGGCTGGTCCGTCCATTTTGACTTGCCATAATTTCTAACGTCTCAAAATTATCATATGCAGTACTACGGAGCGCTTGGTCATGGTTCATACCTTGTGAAACCAGGAGGTGCTCAGTTCAAGCTGCCTCTCGCACCTCCACGTCCACTACCTTCTCTTTCACAAGCACTGATTGCAGTAGAATGGGGCTCAGATCGTGGTTTAGCTCCAATGAAAGCTCGAGCGGATTCGTTTGTTCGTCTCGCAGGTGATGGGGAGCAAATTGAACGTGGCAAAATGGCGCACTCACTCCGGTCGATGGGAAGTGCGGCTTTGAATTTTGCCGCTGTCGCTTCTGGATCGCTGGATTTGTACTGGTATGTTCAATTGCTGGTGAACTGCTCCTGAATGTATGCTAACGTGGCCGCAGGGAAATCGGTTGTTGGTGAGAAATTGTTAAAATATATACACTATGACCATCCTAAAATTCTATCATAGGCCTTGGGATGTTTGTGTTCGTAATAATTCACGAAGATGCTTTCATACCCGAGCGACTGACCTTGTCTGCAGGCAGGAACTATCATCGCTCAAGAAGCGGGTGGCATTGTCAGTACCTCCGACCTGTCCGTTCACGGCGGAGAGGTTACTGGTGATATGTCCGATAAAGTGCTAACAGGCAGGAAATACATTGTCATGAGGTGTGTCACTGTTCAAGGCTTTTCAATGGCCACTGGTTAATCGTTGGTCCCTAGAGCTATAGCGGATTCTGAGGTAACTGCTTTGCGGACTGTCTTATTATGCTGAGGCCTCGCTAATGTACGTTTTCTTGCAGAGAGAGAAGGGAGTAGATATACAGAGGCGTCTTATCAAAGAATTCTGTGAAACTGTTGAAGATTTCACGCCAAGCTCCAAAATGTAGATGCAGGTGTCGACCAGAAAAGCATTGGGTGATTCGACGTAACAGAGATAAGCACACAGGATCCGTAATAAACAAATCCAGTGTCCAATAGATTGCTACATAGGAGTAGAAAGATGCTCAAGAATCGTAATGTAATAATGAAGAAGTGTTGATTCTATGTCGTAAGTTTAGAACTTCCAGCCGTGAGAATAATACGCTTCTTTGAGAATGTCAAGCCGTTAAACATTTTTTTACTGGCACGGATCTTTCTTCTCAACGACTTGCCTCCCTCCAAAACTTAGCTTCCGCAGCATGGCTGCTGCCAAAACGTTCTCCGCGTCGCCAAAGGCACGCTCAAGCTCCTCTAAAGAAGCATTTGGTAAAAAAGTCAAGGGCGAGAACTTCTATCGCGATGCAAAGAAGGTCAATCGTCTCAAAATGATAAACGGCGGCAAGCCTGTGTACAATCGGGAGGGTAAGATTGTACAAGCTGCTGCGTTTCAGAAGACGGAGGCAGAGACTCAACCCGGGCGAGTCCAGCCTGACCGTCGGTGGTTCGGTACGTTACCATGTGCTAATCGTGTACAAAGCATTGTCTGACGGAGTTGTTTGCATTACTGTTCCGTGCTAGGGAACACCAGAGTGATATCCCAAAATGCGTTAGAGCATTTCCGTACCAGTCTTACGTCCAAAGTGCAGGATCCATACTCTGTGTTGCTTCGACGTAATAAATTACCTATGGCTCTACTTGACGAGAAAGCCAACCCGCATACTCAAAAAGTGCGGAGATGTTTTACACTTCTGATTAACTCACGGGCTGAGGAAATCACTGTTATCAGCGTGCACATATCGTCGAAACCGAGCCGTTTCAAGATACGTTTGGACCAAAGGCGCAACGGAAGAAGCCTCGGCTAGACGTCGGTAGCTTTGAAGAACTTGGTCAGTCAAGCGCTGCAGCAGTGGAGGAAGCAGACGCAAAAGCGGCAGATGCACCCGCAGATGAGCCAGCAGGTTCGTAATGTTCGCTTTCGACATCTCATTGTCTAAACGTACTGTTTCCACGATAGCTGTCGTAGAAACGGAAGCACCGATGCCTCAAACCCATGCAAACCACATTGAACCTATATACTTCAAAGGGACTTCTCGGCGAATATACGGGGAGTTGTATAAAGTCATTGACTCCTCTGATGTTATTCTGCACGTATTGGATGCTCGTGATCCATTTGGTACGATGTGCGAAAGTGTTTTAGAGTTCATCCGGAAGGAAAAGGCGCATAAGCAGGTCGTGTTAATTATCAACAAATGCGATCTGGTCCCGAATTGGGTAACGGTGAGTAAATGTGCTTCCCTTTTACTCGCCTCCAGTTATAGTTGCGTACTGCTCCACGGACTTTGTCAAGTCCTCTGCTGGCCCTCGAGGACTCCTTACAGCAGAGACTGTTACGTTCGTGGAAGATCAATGTATTTCGTAATTGCTGCCCTTGGGCTCCGTTATGGAGTCCGCGGGAGTACAGCGATACGAATTACGTCTATCCCTGTAGAGTTGAGCAAGTCATTAAGTCTCTACGCCAGATTTGCTCTTAGTTTAGGGATATACATTTCCAAAGAGAACTTTACATTCACTTGCGGTGTTACGGAGTTTTTACTGACATATCCGCTTTGATCATAGGCTCGCTATATCCAATATCTTACACCTCGCTATGCGACACTCGCTTTCCATGCTTCACCGAACCATTCCTTTGGCAAAGGGTCACTTATTCAACTTCTCCGTCAATTTTCCCAGCTTCATTCCGACAAAAAGCAAATTTCGGTAGGATTTATCGGGTATCCGAATGTCGGGAAGAGCAGTGTCATCAATACTCTGAAAAGTGGCAAAGTCTGCAAAGTCGCACCCATTCCAGGCGAGACGAAGGTCTGGCAGTACATTACTTTGACCAAACGAATATATCTAGTCGACTGTCCTGGTATCGTTCCGACCTCCGCCCATGACTCTCTTACATCAACGGTGTTAAAGGGTGTTGTTCGTGTGGAAGCCCTTCCTACGCCTTCCGACCATGTTCCAGCACTCATGACGCGTGTAAAACCATTGTATCTTTCTCGGACGTATGGTGTTCCTCTCCCTGATCCTGACGACCCTACCAAATCTTGGGAGCCTGAAACTTTCCTCGATAAACTCGCGCGCATGAAAGGTCGATTATTAAAGGGAGGCGAACCCGACATCGAAGGCGTCGCAAAAATTGTTTTGAGCGACTGGGTGCGCGGACGTATCCCTTTCTTTGTTCCTCCACCCGAACGGCCTGAAGAACTCAATGAAGTGGAAGAGAGGAAACGGAAGAAGGGCAAGTTAAAAGAGAAAGAGTTTGTACCTGGTGTCACGCAGAAACTTGGTGGTATCATTCAGAAGAACACGTTCGTTGGCGAAGATGTGAAGCCTTTAGATGATGTTACAGCTGGAGACGAGGTTGATGGTGGAGAGTGGACCGGTTTTGGTGCTGACGATGACAGCGCTAGCGAAGGGTCAAGTCATAATCAAGAAGTGGACGATAGCCATGCCGAGAATGAGGGCGAAGAAGAATTGACATGGGGAGACGTCTTTCCTGACGATAGTAAGCCAGATGCAGCTTGTAACGATGCGTCTGAGGCCGAAGACGAAGACGATAATAATAACGACGATTTGGCTGTCGGTGAGGATCCAGACATTGCCTCGGAAGATGAGTCCGACCCAGAGTCGAGGAGGAAACGTAAAGTAAAAGAACCGCGTATGACAACAAACAAGGTACTTCAAGTGCTAATCTTTTCAACTTCAGACATACTTATTCTTTGCTTCTACCAGCGCAAAGCGACAAATTTCTTTGACACTACAAATGTCAAGAACAAAAACAGGAATCGACAGAAGCCTAAACCCGCTGGTGACATACGTAGACGACCAAAACCTGGAAGACAGAAGTAATGCTCCATGTCAAAATATGTAGACTATCATGTTGTTACATTGCTTTTAAGTTATCGCCTTGTTTTTTGTTCCATCTATTAATTAGAAAAGTTCATGGTTAAGGTACTGAGTATGCAAGAGTTCTGTATACAAACTTCAGATAATTCTAGAATCCTCCCTTTCCTAAATCCCACTCTCTAACGGCACCCTTCTTGCTATACTTTATGTCCATCGCGCTAGTCCCTGATGCCATAGTCCACGCCTCACTAGGCTTTAACGACTTGGGTTCCTTCTCCTTTGTTTTCTTCTCCTTATCTGGAAGTAGACCGAGGCGTTCTAATCGTTTTCGCTCGGCTTTATCTTCTCGGCGTTGACGAATAATATCCAGCATCGCTTCCCAACTTTCGAACTCTGAACCATCAATAAGGCCGGTAGCAGGTATAGTCGGAAGTGTTAAAGGCCCTGTGTCGAGCCTTGGATCGTATGATTCCTCGAAGTATTTGTCCATCTTGGAAGTGATGGAATCTGAGTGGGGTGTATACGAGTTGTCCTTTGATTCTTGCGTACTAGGTGAGGGACGTCTTCGTTTGCGTAGGCGGATACGCTCGATGTCCTCCTCTTCGGAAAGTGTAGGGGATGCAGGTGGTTGTGGGGAAGTACGGGCGGATTTTCGTGATTTGAATTGAGAGGACAGATCGGCTGGTGAGGCTTTCTTTGGTGGCGATAGTGAACGGCCAGAGTGTCCAGCTGAACGACTGGTCGCGTGCTTCGAGTCCACATCTGAGTCTTCGGATGCAGAGGCAGCTCTGGAAGTGCCAGCAGCTAGAGTATGGGATAACGTTGAAAACGCAGTTGTTGGTTCGTCTGTTTCTTTGCCTTTGCCCTTCCATTTGCTAGAATCTTCAAGAGTTTCACCGTGCCATACTGACTTCTGAGAAAGTTCATGTTTGCGACTAGACCCAAGGCGTTCGTCCGGAGTCCTCGACCTTGAGTGTACCTTAGGCGATTCGTCCTGTAGCTCGGCCTTCCAAGAACGATCATGTCTACGACCAGACCTACGACTCCCATCTTCCGGACTTCTCGGTCTTGAGCGCCTCCGGTGTTTCTTGGGCGACACTTCATTTCTGTCCTCCTCGGCATCTTTGTGTCGCCTCCTGTGGTGGCCGGAACCATCGTCCTTTCGAACAGGAGAGAGAGACCGGGAACGGCGTCTTCGCCTTTTATGCTCATAGTCATCGTCCTCATACCGTGAGCTATCAATCTCACGCGAATCTCGACTCCTTCGCCTACGACTACCATCCCGGTACCTGTCCCAGCTCATGTCTCTTTTCCGTGAGGAGCCACCCATGAGTCGGCGCATACGTCCGGCCTCTGTAGCTTCCAGTGCGCGTGCCCTCCTTTCCCTCCTTTCCTGTTCTTCCCTTTCCGCTTTCACTTCTTGCGCAGCTTCCGCTTGCGCCCTTAGAATAGCTCTATTATGTTCATCTGTGTTGCGTATAATCGCAGACAAGAAGCGTTTATTTGCTTTGGGTAAATTGGGATCCGGTCTAGTAGTTAATGTAAGTTTGGTCAAAGAGCACGATAAATAGTGAGCTTAATGCACGTACTCCTTGTCTGGAAAGTACGCAGTTACGCCATCCTTGAGATACCGCTCTGCTTTCTGTTTGGCCTCCTTGAGGATGAGTTCTGCCACATGGCGATCAAGCTCTTCGTCGGTGACTGAACTCGGAACAGAAGCGCCCATCGACGCTCTGACAAGGTTTGATACGACCGACGATAGAGAAGACGAAGGCGACGACATGGTAACTGAGCAAGAGCAAGTTCACCTGTAAGTAATGAGTCCGTAGCGAAAGATCGTGGGACTGTACTGCCATAAACGCGTGCTGTCCTCAAGGGTCAAATCCTGCAGGCGCGCCTCGTTCTCGTCTTTTGGTTCCTCATCGACCACATTCCTCGCCATGGAATCTGAAATTTTACAATGCCTCGCTGCGTCGCTAAATACGGATCCTAACGCGCGCATGAGTGCAGAACTCAAGCTGAATGAGCTTTTTGCTAAGCCAGGTCCGCGCCGAGTCATATTCGCGTAGATTCGTTGTACTAACGACGCGTCTCTGGATGTCAAGAGACGTGCCTTGCGCTCTCCTCTATAACCAATGCGCAGGATATCGACGTGTCTTTGAGGCAGATGAGTACATGTCTGATTTTATGGCCTCCAACGAGCCTAATAGCCCCTTGTCGATCACTCAGCAGTTATCGTGCTTCATAAATACGTCAAGGAGAGGTGGTCTCCTGTCTTCCCATCGTTCAAGGGTAATCCTCCATCTGTCGAGGTCATTACAATTCGAGCGTCCATTTCTGCATTTAGCTGATATTTGTCTGGGTTTCCAAGATCAAATCGCTCGTTCGGGATGCTGTTTTTAAAGCATTGTCGGATCCGAACCGCAAGATCAGATCGTCTAGCGTGAGCATATTCCTTCTACTGAAATTGGTGACGCTCAGACGTGAATGCAGGCACATACACTGTCCCTCATTGCGAATGCTGACTGGCCAGACGAATACCCGAACCTTCTGGCTTCTCTCATTGGTCTTCTGTCTTCCTCATCTCTGGATTCCGTGCATGGCTCTATGCAGGTTTTCAATGAATTTATTAAGACCGACCTTACGGAAGATCAAATCTTGCCTGTACTGCGCGAGCTTCTTCCTGTTCTGCTGAATATTCTCGGCTCTACACAGGTCCGTAGCGTTATATTCTATGCCAGTTTGTCTGGCTCACTATATGCTATAGCATACGCCGTTGACTCGGGCAAAAGCCGTTTCTGTTTTCAGACAATGTATCACGACCTTGTACATGGTGAAGGAACAGCATCCACAGGCAGTTAAAGAGGCTACCAGCTCAATTCTTCCTGTCTGGATTGACGCATTCAAACTTTTGCTCCGAGCGTCTCCTGAAAATGACGTTCAGAACGTGACTTCTTGGGATGCTCTTGCTATTCGAATAGAGGTGTTCCGAGTAAGTACCCATACCTAACCCACTTTGTTTCCCATCCTCATGTTTTGCAGGCCCTTGACACGGTCCACCTCGGATTTGCCAAATCATTAGCACCTCATTATGACGAACTTTTGGACATCGCGCTTGCTCATTTACGTACTCTTTTACCTACATTTTCGCGACATTACCTGTCAAAATCATCAATTCCGCCTCCTAGTGCCTCTGAGGAAGAGCCCATAGAGTTATCGATGCTAGGCTGCCCAATTATCGATTTCATAGCGGTGATCACGCGAAACAGCAAGGCAAAATCGTGGCTGCAATCTTCAAACGTTGAGAGTCTTATTATCGCATTGTGTGGTTGGATGCAAATGACGGAGGATGACGTACGTAAAGTTTACCATGATTACGCGAATTTTGATATCTTATTTTTGGGTGCAGGAGGAGAACTGGGGAAACGATGCAAATGCATTTGTTGCACATGAAGATGACGAAACGCAGTCATATTCCTTGCGTGTCGCTGGCCTCGATCTTTTAGCCGTAAGTGGATATCGTGAAGCTAGCGTGGCCTAGTATACTTACACCTGTCTAGAACCTTCTTGAGCGTGAGCCTGGTGTAACAGTGCATGCGCTTTCGCAGGCAGTCAACCGGCTTGTTTCTGAGTCGCAGCAGGCTCGCAAAACCGGGAATACCGAGTGGTAATGCGATCTTTTATGTCCGAGCGATTAATACTTAATCTATTGTTCAGGTGGCGACCTTTAGAGGCAGCTCTTGTAGCCTTGGGCTCCGTGTCCGATGGCGTCACAGACTTCTGCGAAGATGAGGAAGAAGCGGGAAGACCTAAGCCAATCAATATTGAGGTCCTCTTGACGGATGTTATTCCTCAATTGCTTTCTTTATCCGGTATGTGTTGAACTTCTGTGTCCTCGTGGCTGAAAGTCACCGTAGCTTTTGTTGTGCAGACTGCCCCTTCTTGCAAGGTCGCAGTTTCGTCTTTGCAAGCCAATATTCCAAGTTGCTGCCGTCTCAGTTAGCAGATCAGTACATGTCTGCGGCAATCACCGTTATGGAAAATGAGAATGCAGGAATTCCCATCAAAGTCTCGGCTGTGAAAGCTATCCAAAAGTGAGGCCTTTTTAAAAGTAGATCCTTAATTTCATTATCGACTTACACTATGCAGCTTTGCATCTGGAATGGATGAATCGATTCTGCTTCCAGTCGCTTTCCAGATTGCTAAAGATCTGGGCCCATTCTTGTTAGTGACAAATGAGGACACGTTGTCCCTGGTACTCGAGACGCTGTCATCTGTTGTAAATGTTGGTAAGGGTGCATGGATATCACCCGAGCTAGCCGAGCAGCTCTCGACGGCAATGCTCCGGGTTTGGGTACATAACAATAAAGGTATCTTTACGACTGTGACGTATATCAATAACTTATTGACGTTCTTCCAATTTGAAGATCCTATCCTGATTTCGATTCTGACGGACATCTTTACATCTATTGCTAGCTCTTCTAAACCAGACGTCTACCAGTCCGTCGTAAAGACTTCATTGCCAAATCTGTGCAACGCTATAACCACAGCGAAATCGGACGAATGTTGGGTTACTAGTTCCGCGATCGAGTTAGTAACTAGTTTAGTGGAAGGTGCCCCTGAAGGTGGTCTAGGCGAAGGCTTCTTTGCGACGCTTGCCCCATGTCTATTCGAGTGTCTGCGCACGGCGGAGGACAGAGATGTTCTGCAGGTGATTCTTTATGTATCTGGGGCCAAAAGTATCTTCTTGACGATGATAACTTAGAACGGAGTCCTGTGCTTGACATGGATTGTACGGAAAGACGTCAAACAAATTCTGGAATGGCGGGACTCTTCTGGGCAGAGTGGCGCAGACAGAGTTCTCGCAGTGATTGCGAAACTGCTTGAGAACGAAGACGAGAGTGGCGGTCTCGTCATCGGAGACTTAATTATCCATCTTCTGCGTCGTGCAACTTCTTCCATTGTTCCTGTCTTGCCTGAGTTACTTCAGGCAATGGTTCGCAGGATGCAGACAGCGAAAACTGCAACTTTCGTACAGAGCCTCGTTATTCCCTTTGCATTTTTAGTCCAGAGCGAACGTGATACTGTCCTTTCCCTTCTTGAAGGCATCGATGTAAACGGCCGCTCTGGCCTGGATATTCTGATCCAAACATGGTGCGAGAATGCTGAAGTGTTCCAAGGCTTCTGGCCAAGTCGTGTCAGGTAAGGTGAATCCTAACTGCTCATCACGTATTTCGACTTGACTTCTTCCATAGTACCCTGGGCCTCTGTCAGCTGTTTGCATCGGAACGTCCTAGCTTGCAGAACCTCACTGTCAAAGGAGATATCATTGTCACTCCGGAAACAAGGGATGGTAAGTAATCTCTATATTCGTTCTTTTTGAATTCGGTTCGATGTTCGTACTGTATAGTCATTGTCACACGTTCGAGGGCCAAGAAGAGTATGCTTTCGTTTGTTGAGATGCTTCGACCGATCTAGCTCACAATTAACGTTCGACTGGTCTAGCCCCTCACGAATTCACAAAAATCTCCTTCCCTGTGAAAGCTCTTAAGCTTATCGTGAATGACTTACGCTCAGATGGTGAATCGGCCACCATGGGCACAATCTCGGCCCAGGCTGGAGTGACTGGGTCGGATGATGGGGTTCGTGTTTACAGTCTTTTGGGGTGTCGATGGTTGCGAATCTAACTACGTAATATGTACCAGGAAGATGACTGGGAAGACGAGGACAGTGTGAATCCGCTAAACAAGGACGAAATAGCCTTCCTGTCCGGTGAGCATATTACGCGCCACATGCGACTGGTGGGCCTTACTTGAATCTATCGGTAGACATGCTAGGGCCACGCGCTGGTGCCTTTGACGAGGATAACATTCCGGATGATATGGACGACGAAGACCTGAAGAACGACCCCATTTCGCAGATGGACATGACTGTGAGACCTCTCTTCCTTCCATCTCCCTTCTACCGCCACCTATAGGCGAAGTACGCGGAAACGCTGCGGACGCGTGGCGCTCGCCGCCAATGACATGGTGTTCGGTCCTGCCTCATTGGCTCCATGCTGATCCACCTTCATTTTCTAAATCAGGCGCACTTGATCTCGTTTGTGAAGGAATGCGCGTCGCGGAATGCGAATGGCTTCGCCGATATTGTGGGCCAGATGAATGCGGAAGAGATGCTTGTAGTCCAGCGTGTCGTTAATGAGTCCCGAGGATAAAGATGAGGGAAAATTAGAAAGGTACTTTTACGTATTTCACGAAGGCGGTTCAGTTTACAGAGTTTGCATAGTAATAAGTGCTTATAACATGTCTTAGTACTCATTTCCTGCTTTATGTGTTGTCATCCAGAAATTCCAATATTAGACGCCCTCATATGTTATTATGAAGGCTAATAGGCGTGAAATGCGCGGAGGATTATCAAATGCGTTACTTGCGCTCGGCATCAAACTTCGATTTATGGAGCAACTATCCAGGCGGAATGCACACCCCATGAGGAATCGGCGATAGCGGAAGAGTTATGGTCTGGACAGCTCTCGGTCTATTTGAACCAGTGCCAAACTGGAGTCATGACTCTCACTGGTGCAAGGTTTGAGGAGCAAGTGCAGGTCAGCGCAGCACTATTGGCCGTCAGACTCTTTACATACTCTGAGCGTGAGTGAGGGCCCGAATCTAGACCTGACGACTCAGCGATGAGGGAATTATGAAGTACTGAGATAAAGGAAGAATGACGAGTTATCATGTAATTTTACCTTTTGGCTAGTGGATTACATAATGGGAGTGATGCATTGACGGTTTCTCTCAGGTCGGCGGACGCGCACAAGAGGCAGTTCAGGTGCCAACTCCCACCACTACCCTGCCAACGTCTGACACGACACTTTAGCAGTGAGATTGACTGACAAGCTTCTGGTTGACTCAATTTTCTGGATCTGTGTCAACAGCCGGCGTGAACAGCACTCTGAACGTAATCTGGATGGAAATGGCAGCACATGTACGGACGGATGGGCATCCTGATGCAGTAAACGCCACTCTCCATTCATCGGGCTCAGTCCCGCAGATTTGTCTTGCTGGGTTACAATTGACACACTGATGTCTTCCCAAGCCGTAATGAACGGAGTTTTTGGCTCAGCCTGCTTTTTTCCTAGTTGTGTCACTAAATGCTGACTCGATAGCCGAGAAGCCGTCCAGCCACTCATATTCGCCTGTGTACCGAACCACGCATAGCATGCTAGTCGTACCACCCCGTTTTGGTAAATCTAAAGAACATCAGGGACCAGCCCATCTTCAAACCACATATAATATGTGCAACGGGTCTCCGGTGTCGAGTCCACCCCCCTCTTGTTACTCTCACACCAGCATGCACTTTTCTCACATTCTAAGCTCTTTGAATCCCTTTGTACGTATCCCTTTCTGTACTATGCTCCGGCTACGCATTGAATCTGTTTCCGCCAACAGCTCTTAGAACACGGAGAAAAGCTACTAGCGATGCACCAAACTAGCCCTTCAACGTTGCCAACTATCAGCGCATTTTCTCGCTTGCCCGTTGAACTCGTTTCCCAAATACTCGAATTTGCATATTACGATGAGAACTTGGAGCCTGACGTACGGCTTCTGTCTAATTGCTCTCTTGTGTGCAAGCAGTGGTCTGCGCCTTCGCAGGCTCTTCTTTTCCGCAACGTCTTCCTCCGATCAAGTTCTTCCTTCCTTTCCTTTCGCTCGGCTGTCGATCCCTCCACTACTCGCGGCCAAACCCTCGGAAATTCAATAGTTCGCCTCCGACTTACAATAGATCACAATTATTCCGACCAACTTTCGCATCGAGCGCTCGCCTTTGCTGTCCTCTCTTGCCCCAACCTCTACGAGCTCGACTTATCGGTCCATGGGTGCGGCGTCTCCGGTCTGCCTTCTAGCGGCGCCGCTGGCGCTGTCGGTGCTCAAAATTTCCGGGCAGCGCCATCATTCGATGCCGGCATACTGGACTTACTTCGGGACGGCCCGCCTCTTCGATCGTTGAAGTTCGCAAATTGGTCAGACAATGATCAACTGGCCTTTCAACTGCTTTCGGATGTGTGGCCCTCGCTAACGGCCGTTTCCCTGAAGGGAACACCACCTCGTTTACCTGCATCGGATAACGAGCCTCTTTTACCATTTGGGTGTGCCTTGGGCGAGCTTAGGCTTGGATTCCAGACAATGCCGCGTGCTGACTTCGTCAGTTGGATAATAACGGACTCCACCCGCTCGCTTCGTTGTCTCGAGCTTGAATCGGCCCCAGGGACGGATTTCCTCAGGTCCCTCTTGCTGCAATGTAGACAATCATTATATTCGCTTGCCATGCCTTCGTGTACCTCACGCGACCAAATAACGGCTATCCACGGATGCGAAAACCTTAAGGAGTTCACATTGGACAACAGCACAACCGTCTCGAAACCCCTCCTGAATGACCTGCCCGCATCAATAGAACACATTGCGTTCACTCTAAACAGGGACACTCCACTGTTCCTAATAGTCAACTTCGTCAAGGCCCGCCGGCATCTTAAGGCAGTTACCATGCACGTCTGGGATGATGCTGATGCCCACCCACAGTTGCCAAGCCTGAGAATCGTGTGTGCGGGCAATGGTGTGGAGTTGATTGTTTCGCGAGGCATCCAATGGTTTCACGAGACAGTTGTAAGTCTCAACTTCCTTCCTTCTACTGACCATAACACTAATTAAACTCTATTTTTTTACTCTTGTTTTAGCGGGGCGATCCGGTACCATTTTCTTCGTTTCCGCGTCTCAAGGAACCCGCGAACCTGCAAAAGATGCTCTGCATCTCCAGGCACGCGAGGGTGGAAGTCGCGAGAAGGCCGGTGCAACAGCGTCCGCGAGCCGAGTCAGCTCCATCTCTCCCTATGCTCCCCGAGTTCACCGATAGCGGAGTGCGCATGGCTGCCGACGGTCACCGAGAGAAGTTGTGATTCATTTCAAGCAAATGGAGAAGTCGATGTACGATATTATGAGCTGTTAGGGAAGAATCGTTAACCCTACGGAAGGAAGCACCGGATACCGGATACCGAACAATGATGACGCTTTAATGCTACTCTTTCCGCAATGACGACCTATACTTGTAACATACGAAATTCCCTTGTTCTTTCTCAACTTTACGCGTAAAACTGCCTTTTGATAATCAAATACTTAGGTTCGTCCTGCATCTTCTACTTGTCCAAATGTTGATTGTTCGCTAACGATGCGTGCGTTGCCTTATTATTAACAGTGTCTCCCCCGAAATTATCCTATTGTACTACGTACTGGGCATCATTTTCCCGTATAATCCATATTTTTCTTTCCACGGGTATTCGGATGCACATTGTCTCTCCTGCACGCACATCTGTCGAGGATCGAACACTTTGGCTTTTATTCACATACTATTACACAGCTTTACCCGCGTTCCTAGTTGATAACCCCAACATGTACTTTTACAGCCTTTCTCCTACTTAACACCGTCCCTAGTATGTACTTCCGCTCGAACACTCCGTGCATCCCGCTTCGCGGCACACTATCGCACTTCGCACACAGCTCTTAATGTCTATATTGTACCGCACAAATTACAAATACCATTTTGTAGTGTACTGGCGGCGGCCAACTTACAGTATCTCCTGACCTCCACTCTGCGCGCTTGTTCTTCGCGTCTCCGTCAAGTGGCTAGGTACGTTTGATCGCCGTCGCGAAGATGTATCACAATAACAAGAATACCTCAAAAGAGATCTGAACTGAGCTGAACTGCGTTGTTCTTGAACGGTACTAGACGGAACAACCAACTGAATAATTAATTACGGATGAACTGAATTAGCGGGGGAACTGAATTGACTTTGTGATTGATATCACATCATGTGTACATCCCCGCACCGTCCCGTATTGATTATTGATTATTGATTAAATCTACAGTATATATGAAAACGAGATCTCAAGAGATCGAGTTAGGTTTCGTTATCCCGAGAAGTATGTATTATAGAAATTCAATTTCACATCGGTGACTGCTTCCGCTCCGAGACTAGTACTAGTCAAAGCTTGTAATGAGACCTTGAAATAGATTTTAAGTTGTTATTGTTCCTTTGGAAGAGATGGAAGGTGTGGAAGGGATGATGTGGTGGTGATGGCGCGGACTGTGCCGGACATTTGAAACTTGAGCTATTTAGTTGCGGTTGTCTAGATGGTGTATTTGACGGGATGCTGAATGCAAGCTAGATATTGAGTAGTACGTTGATAACAAGGGGGTGGAGTTGTGATACTGTGAGTTCTATGCATTTATATATATTAATGTTCCTACCTCTCAGCCCCGATTGGGAGATAGTTTGTTCTTTCTCGATTTCATGATAGGAAGCAAATGTTAGAGCTGCCAGTGTTTTGTTAAAGTGCCTGTTTCTCTCCTGCCAGTACAAGTGATGGTGATGCTCGATTGCTATCAAGACATCAATATTGATGAGAAGGTCATAAGCAGCACGTATGTGACCAGACACCTCTTTTGAGAGATCCTAGAGATTTCTCCTTTCATGCAAATCAGTTTACCGAAGATCTGGATTAAGGGCCTCGAAGGGAAGATACGTCTGAAACACAGAATCTCGAGACTTGATTATAATAACCTCATGATTCAACTGTAGCAGTATGGTATGCTGTGAGCATTAACAACCTCTTCCTGTGAGTCGTTTCGGACCGGATACCACCTTCCAAGATATCAGAAGGAAGAAAAGAAGTATACAGGAGGTTCGGGAAGCTTGAGTGGTATGCTGATAATAGTGATTAATTGTACATGTTAATTCTAGATGGTGGCGTCGATAACGGAGAACGGAGAACAGGGAACGGTGCCGCTCCCGCAAGCAACTTAACCTAAGGGACACTATGTAAGAAACAGGTGTATTTTGTTTGTTTGTTAAATATTCAGTTTTTACATACCAAAATTATCTGCAAGGGGCTGATTAACGAGCGAAAGCAAATGCCGAATGCCTGCAGATGCAGACAGACTGATAGCAGCCGACTTTGCACTCAATCATACTCATTGACTTTCCCTGTCTATCTTTCTAGAAGCATTCATGATATGACTTTGCTGTACAGAAAGTGTACAGATGAATGGCAGAGGTAGCATGTGTCAGTCAGTGACAAGGCAATGATGGAATGATTCTGCTCACATGAAGCGAGAAAACTGGACAATCTTGTGATGTCCAAACTCGGTGAAAACAGCACACGTGACGTCGATCTGTTCCCGATGTTTGCGTCGATCATCGGGACGTCATAGCTCTTAAGGTCTCGGGTGGCATTTCATCCAGTTCGTACAAATACATACGAGAGCTTTTGCAATGTTCGTCACTCGCCCTTCTCTCTTACCTCGTACAACTTCAAGCAGAATTTTATCGTAATAAAAAGTGAAAAGGGAAAGGGAAATATGGGTGTCAACGTTTCAACTGCTCGACTTGTTGCGCCTGGAGCTTTCGCTATCAACTTCGCTGCGCAGGTTTATGGAATGTTGGCTTCGCCTAACATGAAGGAGGTTGCGGATCGGGTGAGTCATACTACGAGACTTTACAGTTCAGTGAGACTGTATTTTGAATATCCTAAATGGCTCTCGTATCATCTAGAATCACTACGCATTCTCCCCAAGTCCCTTCTTCATTGCTGCTTTCTTCGCACCTCAGATGATCCTGCAACTCGCCTGGATCCGGAAGTTGTTTGGAAAAGACAGTGATGTAGACCAAGCTCAGTTGGACTATGTCCCGATTTACGCTTTGGGGAATATATGTATCGGTACGCATACAAGCTTACACTCCTCCACCCAACCCAAAACCCAACTTTCTTGCTTCTAATTGTTTGTTTCTGCGATGCAGCTGGTTGGATGGTATTCTGGAACCACGAAAAATTCACAGCCTCCCAACTCCTCGTCAGCATCAACACCTTTGCTCAACTCTATGCAGTGGCCAGGCTTCCGGCGTATACACAACAAACCGCGCTTACGCATTGGGTGGCGAAGACCACTGCTGGGATTGGGTTGCTTGATTTCGTTGATAATGGTGCTGTTGCGCTGGTGCGTAATTATTTTTTTCCCTTGTACGAGACAAATTGGTGAGATAAGTGCGTTGGTTTGATAGGCATATAGTCCTCCGCCGTCTACGCTCGTTCAGATTTTGGCTGCTGCGTTCTTCGGCATTCCCGTACGTGCTCATTAACTGTTTTAAAATTAAATCCAATCTTAACACGAAACCTTCTACTCCAGAGCATCCTCGGAGACCCAATCCTCGGAGGCTGCATCATCTATGACCTCGTCGCACTCTACTCAGGTCAACAAGGCTCCTGGCGCTCGACACTTGGTTGGTTCGCTACTGGTTCTGCAGCGATCGTTGGGTTGAAGAGTATTTTCTTGTGAGCGGACACCTTTCTTCTTCTGTCGTTCGTTTGACCCGAGCTTAATTGATAGTAAGTAGGAGTTACATGAAAGAAGGTTTTGATAGTGGTGGAGCAGATTATGAGCCTGTGTAGATAAGAAGTGTATGGTTATTAGATAGTTGATAGTAATACGGTACATCCAGTAATGTTTACGATACTTTTAATTGGTTTCTGGTATGGTATTAGGCGGATCGAGCCAAGCGTCCCATTGAGTGAGACTATCGTTCAACCCCATTGCTGCATCAAACTCATCAATCCTCTCCACTCCATACACACCCTGAACGAGTGCGCGTCGCACGTAAGGAACCAATAACCTGACGAACACCTTCCCAGCAGCTCTTACAATCCTTTCCTGATCGGGAGGTTCCTCATCTTCGTTCAATACTATCCTCGACTTGGCTTTTGCTTTTTCAGTTGTTGCGGTCTCCACAGCACTTTGCGAATACTGCAGGAACTCTGAAGAAGCGCGTGTGAGTGCGTCAGCCATGGTGGAAAGAAGGGTGGTGAGGAGGGAAGAGGGAGCGAGGAGTCGGAGACTGTTGAGAGCTGTGAGGATAGCGTTGGTGTATATTGCGAGAGGTGGGTAAGACGCGAGGATATGTGGAGGGACGTGTAGTTGTTCCGGAACAATCACATCTTCAGGCGGAGAAGACGCAGCCGCAGGCGTACACAACACATTTGAAGGCTGCCTCCGATACTTCTTCGCATCTGACAACGTCATAATAAACGCATCCGTAGCCGCTTCAAGAGAGGTAGAGAACCGCACTTGGACAGCATGTTCGAATAAAGGGGGTAAGAGTGAGCGGAAATCGAGACCTGAGCGGGCGAGTGCGGCTCCGCAGTGTGTGAGTTGGGTGAGGAGTGCTGAGAGGGATGTTGCGTCGGTTATGTGGGAGAGGTGGGTACGGAGGATTGTGAGGAGTGAGCTGACTTGGTGATGTGTGAGTGCGGAGAGGAGGTATCGAAGTTCGTGTGTTCGTTCTGCTGCGTTCGAGTCCGAAGATGTCGGTGCACGCTCGAGGAAGATGGTAGTGTACTGCGTAATGACATCCGACACACCCTCCCTCCAAACGTCGACATACTTCCTAACATACCTCGCATGGTCCGTCCTTTCCTTCTCAATCCCTTCAACCATCGCATTCAAATTAACCAACCGACTCGTCAAAAACACAAGCGCCAACTCCTTCTCTTCCAACACACACATCTTCCTCAAGAACGACACAGCTTTAAAAAGCGCAGGTAACTTCGCAGGTTCACGAAGCCTTGCAAGGAGCTGAGCGAGCATAAGACGCATAGAGTGGGACGCTTCTGCGTTGACGTCTTGTACGATTGGTACGTCTGGGAGAGATTGAGCGAGTCGGGATGCGTGTGCTGCGAGGTCCATTGCTTCTTGGTAGTATGAACTTCGGACGCAGGTGTCGATTAGTTGGGGGACGTCGAGGATGTCGATGAGGGCGTCGTGTGCTGAGAGGACTTTTCGGGCTTTGGTGCGTGCATCTTGGATGGTGTGTGTTTCTTGGGTGAATTGACGTGCGGAGGATTCGAGTGCGGGTAGTGCGGATAAGAGAGAGTTGAGTGAAGATGAGAGAGTAGTGAACGAGGAAGAGAGAACTGATGAGGTGCGATGAAGCGAGAGGAATGTCGGGTATTCAGCGTGGCAGAGTGAAGTGAGTGAGTTTGTGAGCTGTGAAGCCTCTGAGGCGAGTGTTGTCGGCTCATGCACGATTTCAGGCAAGCTGAGCGAGGTTAGATGGGTGAGGTATTGTGTGATTTCTGGTGTCGAGAGACGTGCACGTAGATTCGATGACGGCCCTTCGCCATTGTTGGTAGCTAGTACGTCTGCAAGCGTCTCTGGCTCAGCCATCGTGCCTTGAAGCCTCTCGTCGTCGTCTGTGCCGTCAGTGCCAACGCGAGTTTGACGGCGTCGTGTCAAGATTAGATAAAGAAGTGGATTCCCACGACTGCAACGCGACACGTCTCGTCTAAACGCTATTTCTACCTCAGCAGCATCACTGTCCCTTTTCACCCTACTTCAAAATGGTGAGCATCACGCAGAATATATCCAGAAATTTACTTATTGTGTTTTAGGTCGTATTAGCAGCGTCAATATGCACAAAAGCCGGAAAACGTGCGTATCACAGGCTAAAATCAGCAATGCACACCTAATGACAAGTTCACAGCGGTCATCTCTCGACAATTCCGCGAAATGACCAGAGCTCGTATCGAATCCCTCCTCGCGTCATTCCCAAAACTCATTCCAGCTGGCTCACAACATACTTCCATCGAAACTCCCGAAGTCCGCTATGTCTACCAACCACTCGAAGAGCTCTACATCCTCCTCATCACGAATAAGGCGTCAAACATACTTCAGGATATTGATACCCTTCACTTGTTTGCTCGTGTCGTGTCGGACATGTGTCGAAGTGCTGAAGAGCGAGAGATCTTGAGGAATGCATTCGAGCTCCTTGGTGCTTTCGATGAGATTGTCAGTTTGGGGTACCGTGAGCAGATTAATCTCATGCAGGTTAGGAACGTGCTTGAGATGGAGAGTCATGAGGAGAAAATCCAAGAAATCATTGCTCGAGTGCGTACCATTCTCCCTCGTATCTATTCGTGTTACAACATCTGATTGTTTTACTACTAGAACAAAGAAGCAGAAGCGAAGGAAGAGCTCAAGCGTCGTGCAAAACAACTCGAGATGCAGCGTCGTGAACAGCAGCGACGCGCAGCAGCTGGTGGTGGTGTTGGCGGAGGAAGTGGGTTCGGCGGAGGGATGGGGAGCGGTGGCATGGGTGGTTACTCGCCCGTCCCGCGCTATGAAGCACCGTCTCCCCAGCCTGCACGCACATCATCTCCTGCACAAATTTCGCTTCGTGCTCCCGCATTCAAGGGTTCGGGTATGAAATTGGGTAGTAAAAAGAAGACAGCAGAGCTGCTTGATGCACTAGGTGGTGAGGCGATAATACCACAGGAAGAATTGTCTGCGCCTGCTACACCTGCAATCCCTGCTCCCGACCCGTCTTCCGTTATCAGCGCGCGTGGAAGTCTACCTGCCGTTACTCCAGAAGGGTTAGTTAGCCTTAAACTCTGTACGAAAACTGATACTGATGATAAGATGACAGAGTGCACGTCGTGATTAAAGAACACGTCTCTCTCCAACTCCTCCGCGAAGGTGGACTCAAATCAATGGAAGTCAAAGGCGACATGAACCTCCAAGTCTCCGATCCAGCTCAATCGAAAGTGAAACTCGCACTCGCACCGATCTCCTCTGACTTCAACACCGGTGCGGGCGGTGACTTGCAATTCAAACAACACCCGAACGTCGCGAAGTTCGCACCGACGGGTGATAAAGTTGTAGCGTTGAAGGACCCGAGTAGGGCGTTCCCTGTTGGTCAGAGCCTTGCGGTGTTGAAGTGGAGGTATGCGGGGAAGGATGAGAGTCTTGTTCCGCTTTCTAGTGCGTATCTCCATTTTTTAATACTTATTGTAGGCAAAATGTAGAAGCTGATTCTATTAATGCTTTCTGTAGTAAACTGCTGGCCGACGCCCTCAAACGATGGAACTTGTGAAGTGAACATCGAGTACGAGCTAGAGAACGACAAGCTCGCATTGCACGACGTTGTCATCTCCATTCCTCTCCCGTAAGTACCCTTCCCTAATTAAGTTTTCTTTTACTTATCAATTCAACTCAACTCACGTCAATCAACTCTCTGTAGCACTGGTTCCTACCCAACAGTCTCCCAACACACCGGCACCTGGTCCCTCAACGCAAGCACACACTCCCTCGACTGGTCAATCCCACTCATCTCATCCTCAGATGAAGAAGAATCACGTACAGGTACACTGGAATTCGCCGTCGGCGGGGACGACGCATCCACTTTCTTCCCTGTACGCGTTGCGTTCCTTGCTCAGGGGAGTCTGGTAGGGATGGGCGTGGAGAATGTAAGTCTTGTAGAGAGTGGGGAGAGTATCGAGTTTAGTCAGGATGTGAGTATTGAGGCGGATGAGTATGTTGTTGTGTAGATTGGCGTAGATACGCTGTTGTGTACGGGTTTGGAACTTCTACTTTCATTTAGCAATCGAATAAGAGAAACAAGACATGTAAGCATATATCTGTGCCAGCTCATTCACATTGTACAGACATCTGGGTTAGCTCCTTCCATGATATGTATGAGAACAAGTGAGAACGTATTTTGTTTCTGTTTAATATTGTCTTTGTTCTAGTAATGTTCTCTGAAGTTGATTCCTTTGTAATAAATATGGCTTCCCAAGGTCCTAGACAATGATAGCAATTACATCAATCATTTTCCAATAATGGATCTACTATACTACAATCCCTCTTTGTGTCGATTATCACTCTTAACTCTGTCGATTCAAGCGCTGTCAATCGGAAATGTGATTCTAATCTCCGCCCTATCCGTAAGTCGTACCGCCGTTCTCTTACCTTGCATACTCAAATTTGTCGTTCAATGTAGCATGATAGATCTCGATTTTGTTTCCTTGCAAGGTGTGCCCACTATTCTCACTACACCGCACTCAATACCACGACTTTTAACTCACATACCAACTACATTATTTCAGCTTGGAACGAGTCATGCATTCTATACTGGCAGGACGTTTACTCTTCACATTGCAAAAGGCCTCAAAAGATGGGATTTACGCAAGTACGTCGCACGCCTTGACAACTATACAGTTTTCGGAAACTACTGCAGTCCGTACTGCAACGGATAGTGGAACTGGAAGCGGAAGCGAAACTGTTGTGCCTTCGTTCACTATGGGGCAGCCTGAGACGAGTCTACTGACATCGGAGGACATTCCAATGATAGATCTTTGTGTTCGTCCATAATAGCAAAGCAATTCATAAAGAATGGGCTCCTACCCCACTGTCCCCCAACACACCGGCAATTGGTGCGGCAATGCAAGTGCCAAGTACACACCCGCTCTACTGGTCCATCACACCCATTTCCTCATCCGAAAAAGACTCGCGTACAGGTACACACGAATTCGCTGTCGGTGGGGACGACGCATCGACATTCTTCCCCGTACGCTTTGCTTTCGTTGCACAGGGGAGTCCGGTAGGGTTGGGCGTGGAGAATGTGAGCCTTGTGGAGAGTGGGGAGTGTGTGGAGTTTAGTCAGGATGTGAGTGTCGAGGCGGATGAGTATATTGTTGTTTAGGCAGAAATCGTAGATACAGTACTCTTCGTGACATACTAGATTGCTTCTACATAAGTAGAATAAGACCATACTTTGAACAGGGCAATTTTTGTTGGTTTTTATTATAGTATATTTGGCTAATAAAAAGATAAAAATAGGTATTTTAGTCATTCTAGCCACTATTATTCAGTTTTTACACAAACTCTATAAGACATGGAGCATTTTATTTATTAGAAGTTCAGCTATAAAATACATTTTTTGCATCAAGAAAAAATTGTGTTGCTCAGGAGTTATGAATATTTTTAGAGTGTTGCAACACTTTTGACACTCACTGTATATATTCAAAATTCAGACAATATTGATTTTACAGGTATTGGATTCATATACAGGCAAATACTTGCTCAAATTCCCTCAAAGTTGTTAATTAGATAGTACTAATGAGTATCTATATTTTCTTTTTTTTTGTGTTTATTGTGTTGTTGTGAGTTTAAGGCAGAGTGTTTAAAGGAACAGTAGTGTTTGGAGGACTGTTTGACTGTGCCTACTATATTTATATGTTCAAGCTCTGATTGGATTTCTGATGGAAGCTATAAAAAAATTGCTAACCCACCAGGTACAGGGAATACCATATAGTAATCATTGTGTCAATGTGACAGGATCATAGAAATGGCTAGGAAGTCTCATAGTAGTAGTCACTAGTACTCTCCAAACTACATGCCTGCCTTTTGCCAGCAAACTACACAATCTGACCTACCATGGATCTCAGGCAGATTTTAGAAGATGTGCACATTTTCACTATATGTCCTCATGTCAGTCTTTCTTTCTGTGTCTAGGCTAACTGTAAGATA